ACCCTTGAACTATGACTGGAAGCCTTACCAATAACATAAACAGCCAATTCACACATATTTTGTATATGTACTATATACTGTATCTTTACAATAAAATAAGCTAGGGAAAAGAAAATGTTAATATATCATAAAAGAAATTACATTTACAGTATTTACTGAAAAACATTCACACATAAGTAGACCTATGCAATTCAACTCCTTGTCCAAGGGTCAAATGTATTTCTTCTTTTTTTTCCTCACCTGAAGACATTTTCCCATTGCTTTTCAGAGAGAGTGGAAGGGTGGGAGGGAAGTGGTGGGGGCGGGGGGAGAAAGAGAGAGAGAGAGAAAGAGAGACATTGATGTGAAAGACACATCAACTGATTGCTTCCTGCAAGCGCCACAACTGAGGGGCGGGGGAGTGAACTCACAACCCAAGCACTTGCCCCTGACCAGGAATTGAACCTGCAACCATTCGGTGCAAGGACCAATGCTCTAACCACTGAGCAACATAGTCCAGGGCCAGATTACATTTTTTTACAAAAGCTTTATTGTTGGAAGTATTACATATGTCCCCTTTCCCCCAATGACCCCCTTTAGCCTGCCCCCACCCCCCACCCAGGACTTCACCATCCTATTGTCTGTGTCCATGGGTTATGCATATATCCATACAAGTTCTTTGGTTGACCACTTCCCACTCACCCACCCTCCCCGCCTTCCCTCTGAGATTCCACAGACTGTTAGATTTCCTCTTTTACAGCTGAGTAGTATTCCGTTGTGTAACTATACCAGTTTTTTTAATCTACTCATCCACCTATGGACACTTGGGCTGCTTCCAGATCTTTGCTATTGTAAGTAATGCTGCAATGAACACAGAGGTGCAAATATTCTTTTGAATTAGTGTTTCATGTGTCTTTGGATATATTCCCAGAAGTGGAACTGCTGGGTCCATGATGATGTTTTAAAATAGGAATGTGTACAAGACCCTGCTTAGTAAATCCATGCTGGGCTGGAGGTGAGGAGAGAGAGAAGACAAACTCTTTTTTTGATGGTCAGGGGAAACGTTAAAGGGGCAACTAACACTTGAGTTTTGAAAGATGAATTGGAGGCCATCAGATAGGCAGGAACCGGGGCGATGTGAAAGCAGGTCCAGAGGCAGAAAGGATGAAAGTGATGCTCTTTACAGGGCTGGAGTACAGGGTCCATGTAGGACAGTCGTAAAGCCAAAAAGTACAGACGGAATCAAGAAGGCCTTGGATGCTGTGCTCAGAGGCTCGCAGCTTATCCTAAAAGCAGTGCAGAGCCTTGGGTCACTTTTAGTCACGAGGCATCAGAGCAGTGCTCTTACCCCAGAGCAGGCCTGTGCTCAGGAAAGGTTGGTAAACGCATTCATGCTGGAGCATAAATGACTCACAAGCTCTCAGGTAAAGAAAGTGAGCTCTGGGTTATCTACAGGTGAGAAGCAATAGGTGGGGTTGGTATCTGCTGAGGGAACATGCTAGATATCACTGTAGGCATGACTGGCCTTTGTTTCAGGGAAAGACGCATTCATTCGTTTTTTAGAAGAGGAAGAACTAATCTCTGTTTTTGTCTTTGTCTTCAGAATTCTTCAGATCTGTCTCTGGCATCTGACAGGGACCGTTTTTTTGGGGAAACAGCACCCTCTGGAGCAGTGGTTCTCAACCTGTGGGTCACGCCCCCTTTGGGGGTCGAACAACCCTTTCACAGGGGTTGCCTAAGACCATCGGAAAACACATATATAATTACATATTGTTTTTGTGATTAATCACTATGCTTTAATTATGTTCAATTTGTAACAATGAAATTGGGGGGTCACCACAACATGAGGGACTATATGAAAGGGTCGCGGCATTAGGAAGGTTGAGAACCACTGCTCTAGAGGAAAGAGTATAGGTGTTTCAGGTGGGACAGTAACCACCATTTCTGGAGCTTTGGCTAGCTCCTTTCCCAGGGGTCTGGCCAGCTGGGAGTGGAGTGTAGCAGATTGTTTATCTGCTTCTGACTCTTCTCACTGCTGAGAACAAAGATGCTTGGCTGTGGGTGGTGGCACAACAGCTGGCAGCACAACAGCTGGCAACTGCAGTTAACAGCTGGAGGAGGCAGATCTAAAGGCTGGCAACAGCAGGCACAAAGCTGGAGGTGGCAATCACAACAGTTTTAGCCAGTAGCCCACATCTCCAGTGCCCACAAGTCAGTGGCCGTAACACTAGCCTCTCGCACAGCGGTTCTCAACCTGTGGGTCACGACCCCTTTGGGGGTCGAACGACCCTTTCACAGGGGTCGCCCAAGACCATCAGAAAACACATATATAATTACATATTGTTTTTGTGATTAATCACTATACTTGAATAATGTTCAATTTGTAACAATGAAAATACATCCTGCATATCAGATATTTACATTCCGATTCATAACAGTAGCAAAATTACAGTGATGAAGTAGCAAGGAAAATAATTTTATGGTTGGGGGTCACCACAACATGAGGAACTGTATTAAAGGGTCGCGGCATTAGGAAGGTTGAGAAACACTGCTGTAGAAGCTCCAGGCCCTGTCTTCTCTATCTCAGCTGGGCTCATCCATACAGGGTACCACAGAGGCACCTCCTGAAAACACAGACCCATAAGAGTGAACCTGGGGAACGCAGAAGCAGTTGCTATGACAAAGTTCTGGACCAGGAGCCAGAAGATCAACTACCATTAACCTACTTGGGGCAAATCTCTCTGAGCCTTAGTTTCTAATGAGGCCTTTCCCATTTACCTCATGGTGGGGGGCGGATCAAATTACATATTTTATAAATCATAAAGTGATCTGTAATCAGAGGCCATTATTTTGGTAATAAGCAAGGCTTTCCTTGAGTTCCAGGAGCTTCCATTCCCCCAGATATGTAGACTCTCTGCTCAGCACAAATAAAGCTGGACTTTGATAAAGAATCCCCAAATGTCACCATAGGAAGTGTCTGGGTAGAGATGGGCAGGCATCCTGCTCCTCCGTGAGTGAAAGCTTAAAGACAATCTTTCAATCTCCCAACCAAAGCTTTCATCTCCTCTAAAGCACTCAGCTAACATATCCTCGAACACCTCCAGGAATAGTGCAATCACTACCTTTTGAGAAGCTCTTTCCATATTTGGATGCGCTGATTGTTCTTAGCAAAGTGTTCTTTGTCATATCAATATAGAATCCTTCCCCTGTGGTTTGAACTCACTGTTTCTGTTGTTTCTCTTGGAGCTCAAAGAAAACCAAACCCGTTCACGTAGCCGTTCAAACAAAATATTTGCACACAGTCATCATATCCCTCAGATAATTTATTTTCCTAATTAAGCTTCCATTTCCTTTAACCATTTCTTACATTATCAGTTCTGAATCCTCTCCTATCCTGATTGTTCCTTGATACTCGATAGTGCAGGTGTGGGATAAACAGAGCAGGGAAGAATCATCTACTTCCTTATTCTAGAATCTAGATACTTTAATTCAATGAGTAGCCTAAGATTGCATTGCTTTTCTGGCAACCAAAACACATAGGTAGTTCATACATGATTACTTTCTGCCAAAATTTATTTCCATGGTTCTGCTTTCCAGTCCAGAACTTGCGCAGGTAATTTTGGACACAAATATGTGACCCAACATTATCCTTTTTGTTAGATTTGGCCCACTCATCTGTCTTCTTTTGGATCCTTATTCTTTGCATTTCAGATCTGTCCCAGCTTTGTGTCATCTACGTAATTGATGGCCCTGTGTAAAAGGGCAAGTCCAAAGATAAAGTTTTCTTGTACACTAGAAAACTGACTCCAGGCTATCATAATGCACTCACCAGTACCATTTGATTTTTTATTTTTAACTCACCTACTAGCATACTGTTCATTTTTCTCTGTCATATCCCCAAGGACATGAGAGATCTTGTAAAAAATCTTGCTTAGATATGCTTTATCTATTGCATTGATCTAATTTGCCAATTTGGTGACCTTGCTATATAAGGAAATTGTTAGTTTGATGTAACTTGTTCTTAGTGACCCATGGTGGGGTCCTACTGATAACTGCCTTTCCTCCACCCTACCCAAGTATTCACAATCTTAATGCTCCATCTAGAATCTTGTCTAGGATCAATATCTCGCCTGTTTGTCTGTAGTTTGTGAAATGTACCTCATTTTTCTTTTAAAATACATTTTTTTTTTTGTTGATGTCAGAGAGGGAGGGAAAGGGATAGAAACATCAATAATGAGAATCTTTGATTGGCTGCCTCCTGCACACTTCCTACTGGGGATCAAGCTTGCAATCTGGGCATGTGCCCTGACCAGGAACTGAACCATGACCTGGTTTACAGGTCAACGCTCAACCAATGAGCCACACTGGCCAGCCTCCCCCCACCCCCATTTTTCTTACTGAAAATTAAAATGTTCACTCATCCACAGCTTTCCACCACTTCCTGTTCTTTAATAAGAGTTCCTAAAAATCTCTTATAGAGGTTTCCCATCTTTTTGAGAGTTTGAGGACCAAATGAGAAGGCATACTAATGTATAAACTTTAAAATATATAGATGCAGGCATTGTGGTAATTGTTTTTTAAAAAATATATATTTGTATTGATTTTTACAGAGGGAGAGGGAGAGTTAGAAACTTCGAGAAATATCGGTCAGCTGCCTTCTGCATGCCCCCTGCTGGGGATCGAGCCTGCAACCAAGGTACATGCCCTTGACTGGAACCAAACTTGGGACCCCTAGTCTGAGTGCTGATGCTCTATCCACTGAGCCAAACCAGTTAGGGCATGACTGTTTATTATTATTACTACTGAGTACTGAATGGGACTTTACTGGGGCTCTACATAAGAATTCTTCAAACTTCAGAATTATAGAGCTTCCCTTTTCTCCAAAGTAGCTAAGGATATTGGGGAAGCGGATGACATGCAGGTCTGGCTGAGTAGTGTCACTTGGGCAGAAGTGTGGAGTGGGGGCTGGTCAAATGGGCTCCTGGTTGCCTCTGAACATTCTGGGATTTTCATTCATTATAATCTCTAATTTAGTGCCTACTTGGGTGGCTATATGACTGGACCCAAGTAGTTGGTTCTTAAGGCATAAGACCATGGAGAAGATAGAGTAGTGAAGAATGATAAAATGCAATGGCTCAGACTTCTCAGAGAGGAGAATGTGATGAGCTTCTCTGTTCTCTAAGGACCAAACTCTGCAGAGACCACTTTCTCATTCAAGATCTGGTCATCAGCTTCAGAGTCAAAGGGTTCATGTGATTAAAAAATTCTCTCTTAAATCAATAAAATGTATTTTAAAAAAATTCTTTCTGTGCTGGAAAAGCCCAAGTTAGTTTTGGGGCAGGGGATGCTAGACGCCTTAAATTAAGTGAGTGAGCTTCTATTTCAGAGTCTGTCCCACTTTCTACTACTGAACATATAGTAATCCCGAATTTACGCTTGTGAAGACATAGCCACTAACACACACTCTCAATCCTCCTACTCACTCAGTCAAGGCAATTTTGCCACCTCCAATCTGGCATTTTTCCCAGTCCTTTTGTCCGACTGACAATTTACCACTAACACACACTCTCAATCCTCCTACTCACTCAGTCAAGGCAATTTTGCCACCTCCAATCTGGCATTTTTCCCAGTCCTTGGAAAAAATGGATTGTTACTTCTCCTCCACCACTGCTTATTTCCTCTACTCTTTCTGCCCTGTGTTCTTCCTAATACTACCCCAAACCAAAGTTCCCCAGATGATGCAAATAAATGATGTTAGTGGTGATGATACTAGTACCTAATACATAGTGAAATGGGCTTGGTGCTTAGAGAACATCTTGAAGGGTAGAAGAATGGGCAGTTTCTGTTATTTTCTGAGCCAGATGAATATCTTAGCATCAATATTGACTTGGGGCTAGGAGAAAAAAAAATGGAGAGATTAAGGGTGTGTGTTAAGGGGGATTGGCCTGCCAGGATCAACAGAGTAGTTGTTCTTGCTGATGTTATTCATGAGGGTGAGGAGGGATTTCAAAATTAAACACCTTCACAGAATTGGTTTTGTGATGGAGACCAGTAGAGGCCCTCTTTACTCTGGCCCCATCTTCGAGGAACTGTGAACTTATTACTCTTTCCTCTCTGCCTTCCCTAAGAATTACAAATATTAGACTGTATTGTAATTGTTTACTGAACACATCTCTCTCACTAGACTGCGAGTTCTTGGAGAGCAAGGATGATGTTGTTTTCATCTTTGGCTTACCAGCATCTTGCACAGTGCCTGGCATATAGCAGGTGCTCAATAAATATTTGCTAATAAGACAACAAATCAGTGGTATCCAAATGAATGTTACTTCTTCCTTCCCATGGGGTGGTGGCTAGGAGTTGGCTGGATTTCTGCAATAACCTCCATTATACTGTCTTGCTCCCTCCAGATGACATCAGTTGCCAAGGTATATTACAGTCAGACCACTCAGACAGAAAGCCGGCCCCTAATGGGCCCAGGGATACGACGGCGAAGAGTTCTGACAAAAGATGGTCGCAGCAATGTGAGAATGGAGCACATTGCTGACAAGCGCTTCCTCTACCTCAAGGATCTGTGGACAACCTTCATCGACATGCAGTGGCGCTACAAGCTTCTACTCTTCTCTGCGACTTTTGCAGGCACCTGGTTCCTCTTTGGCGTGGTGTGGTATCTGGTAGCTGTGGCCCATGGGGACCTGCTGGAGCTGGGCCCCCCAGCTAACCATACCCCCTGTGTGGTACAGGTGCACACACTCACTGGGGCCTTCCTCTTCTCCCTTGAATCCCAGACCACCATTGGCTATGGCTTCCGCTACATCAGTGAGGAGTGCCCACTGGCCATCGTACTTCTGATTGCCCAGCTAGTGCTCACCACCATCCTGGAAATCTTCATCACAGGTACCTTCCTGGCAAAGATTGCTCGGCCCAAGAAGCGGGCTGAGACCATCCGTTTCAGCCAGCATGCGGTTGTAGCTGCCCACAATGGGAAGCCTTGCCTTATGATTCGAGTTGCCAATATGCGTAAGAGCCTTCTCATTGGCTGCCAGGTGACAGGCAAACTGCTTCAGACCCACCAGACCAAGGAGGGTGAGAACATCCGGCTTAACCAGGTCAATGTGACTTTTCAAGTAGACACGGCCTCTGACAGCCCCTTCCTCATTCTACCCCTTACCTTCTACCATGTGGTAGATGAGACCAGTCCCTTAAAAGACCTCCCCCTTCGCAGTGGTGAGGGCGACTTCGAGCTGGTGCTGATCCTAAGTGGGACAGTGGAATCCACCAGTGCCACCTGCCAAGTGCGTACTTCCTACCTGCCAGAGGAGATCCTTTGGGGCTATGAGTTCACACCTGCCATCTCGCTGTCAGCCAGTGGCAAATATATAGCTGACTTCAGCCTTTTTGACCAAGTTGTGAAAGTGGCCCCTCCCAGTGGCCTACGTGACAGCACTGTATGCTACGGAGACCCTGAAAAGCTCAAGCTGGAGGAGTCATTCAGAGAACAAGCCGAGAAGGAGGGCAGTGCCCTTAGTGTGCGTATCAGCAACGTCTGATACCTTGGTTTCCCACCGCCCCATCCCTCTAGTCTCGCTTTCTTTTTTGGCACTCTGGGTGAGGATATTACCCAGGCTTACTGAACAGTTCCAGAAGCACCCATTCTCTACTCCCTCTCCTTTAACCCAGTGGCCTGTGGGTAGTCTTGGCCAACTGGAGTCCAATTTTTCCTTCCATTGTCCCCTTTCACCTCACCCACTTCCACTGCATTATCACTGCCCCCTCCACCCTCCTTAAGCCAGGATGGAGGAAAGAGAGGGAAGATTAGGCTGAAAGGCTTAGAGGCTTCTGGCATGCTTGGAGACTCACATTAGAAGGACCATGCAGTTGGATGGACAGATTTCCCCTGACCTACCACCACCACCAGAGATTTTGGTCATTTGGGGCTGGAGTCCCCTCCTTCTCTAACTTTTATCTAACAAGTTCCTCAAGGCAATACTCTGATGGTCCCTTTAAGGTCTGTGTCCTCAGAAATATAGAAATCTGGAATCAATTTATAATGGGGTCTCCACCAACCTGTTGAAAGAAGTCATGGTTTTTCCTGGTGAATTTCTGTTGGCAACTCCTGCCTTAACCTAGGACCTTGGTCACAACCGTTTTGCTTTTTTTAGTTTCTAAAGTGGACCATCAGGATACCCAGTTATTTCATGGATGCCTCTGCTCCCAGGGAACTGGGATGACCCAGGAAATAGAAAACCTATAGTCACAACCACCACACCTGCACCCATCCTGGATTCTGAACTCTTCAGTGTGGAGTGACCACTGCGAAGCTATTGTCCAAATCCTTGAACCTGTCCTTCAGGTAGCCCTAAGAGGATTGGTTTCTCTGTGTCCTATGAATGGGATGCCCCTCACCAATATGCTCCCCTGAAAAATGCCAGTGCCTAGACTCCATGGTAGGTCTGGAAATGGTGTTCCAAATTACACTGTCCTTGGCTTCTCTTCTTTCCAGCCCAACCCACTCTTCCCTTAACCCCAATACTTCAGAGGGAGGGAAAATGTAAGAGCCTCCCTCTCTTAACACTGATGTTTGACTAAAACTACACTCACAGAGCAGAGTTCCCAGGAAAGTTAAACCAACCAGACCAAGTAGGATGAGTAAATTATCAGATTTCCAGACTGTTGTATAGAGCCTCTGGGAATTGGGGATGCTTTGTTTAAGTCTGGACAGAAGCACAACTCTGGCTGGCAGTTACCCCTCCGAGTTCCCATCTGCAAAGTGCCAACTATTTCATTAGGTAGTGCTGGGAAAGGAAATCATACCTCCTGATTAAATAACCACGGTCTCCCTCAGTCATTCCTGAGATGTGTTATAAAATGAGTATCAATCTCATTTCTACTTTCCTGTGCTACGAGGCCAGTTTCAGACAAGTTAAAAGGCATACTTTCAGAGATCAGACTCAGGCCATTCCTTGTTTCCTGCTGGGAACTGTGGCAGGGGTCAGGAAGGGCATAAGGGCACCAGAACTTTTTCTAATACCCCAAATCCCAAGAGTGCTTCTTGATCTCATTTAGGTACAAAGGAACCCTACCCCCAACCCCAATGGTTAGGCATAGAGTCCCTGTATGAATTAAGTGGCAGTTTATTTAAGGTGGACTCAGCCAATTGTACAAGCTACACACTTCTACAGAATATGTACATACATCTATGTGCAGAGCCTTGCAGAGAAACTCATAAAATTTTGAGGTGGACTTATGGTCACCAGTTACTACAACAGCACAAGATTCTCTTACATTGATCTCTTCTTGAACTCTAATTATATCTTGAAAATGAAGACCCTTTGTTTTCCATTTATTGTAAACCCCCCGCACCCCCTTCCCCCCTCCCTTGTTCTTAAAGAAAAGAACCAGAAAAACTTGAAAGTCTAAACAGAATAGAAGGCAAAGAGCCAGTTTCTGGGCTCTCAACTTTATTCACTGTTAGACTTATTGGCTTTCTTCCAATGGGTAAGGGCAAAAAGTACTGCGTGTATATATATACACGTCTTCTTATCCATTAGCAAGTTAGCCTCCATCCAGTTTCTCCTGCACACAGCTGCTTCCCTTCTGAGGGAATCGCTCTCTTCCCACCCCCTGATGTCTATTCTAAGCCCCCAGATTCTCCTCTCATTGGATAACAAAATGAGAATATTTTCTGACTTTTTGATTCTCCTCTATGATCCCAGACTTTGCTCTAAATTGCGCTTTAAATCATACTGTCCTTTTAATACAACCTACTTTGTTCTCCCATAAGCCCCCCTCTTCTGCCCTCCAGAACAACACCCCTATGGTCAACCCTAAATGGTTCTTCAGACTATAGCCCCCATCTCTTTTGAGCTGAAATCCTTTTAGGCTTTAGAAGCAGCCAGGTCTGGTGAGAAATGAAGCCGTTAACCACACCAACCATGGACTTGGCATGTCAGGAGAGCACTAGGCACAGATGTTAAGGGGGGAGATTTCAGAAGATGGGCAAAACAACTGATGGGAGCAAAACAAAAGATGAGAAAGTGCACTATTGAGGAACTTAGTGAAATTGATGAAACCCTTGCGTTTTACGTGAGCTAGCAAACAAGAGGCAGGTGGAGGCTCAGGAAATTAGGATATGATATATATGAAAGGTTTATCTAGAGAAACAGATCATATATATATATATATATGTATATAGAGAGATGTATATAGGACCAAATATATTGAATGTACAGAAAGGAAATGTTCAGAGATTTTAGCACGGGGCAAATATCTTGCTCTGGTTTGGGGGTAGGGCTCCCCAGATTTCCAAACTTAACAGTGATGCTAGTTTTAATATGAAAGTGATCTGAAGAAGGCTTTCAGGTGTGATTATGGCAGAGTGGTGCAAGATTCTCTTCAGAAATAAGAGGCATCCACTGAGGCTTCTCATAAAGCCTGTGTTGCTGATAGGACCAGGGGCACAGGAGGAAAAGGGAGACGCTCCATCCATAGAAATCTAGGAGAATCCCTACTTTTACTGTGTGCTCCTATCCCCAGAAGTGTCCTGTCATTGTGCACTTTTAAAATTTTTAAATAAAAGCATCCTTCTGTTTCCCTCTCTTGAAGTACACTGAATTTCCTCTTTTTCCACAAGAGTGGGGCAAATGCAGCTCCAGTCCATGGAGGCCAT